GGCATGAAAAAAGTCAACATAGTATCAAGCGTGTGCGTTCACAGACAAAGCTTGTGCCGGCTAGCAAGCGCTTGTTACAAGTACTGACAAGCACGCAAGAACGTTTCGTACTTGTTTTCCGGCGCTTGTTGACCGAACCAGTCAGTTACAAACTAGGCTACACAGTGCAGGATGGATGTCGATGAGTTGATAGCTCAAGTATTTAGAGCTTCCAATTTCCAAAAAAATATATTACCCACGTATTGTGGTTTTCCCTAGAATATTCAATAACGTAACCAATAGGACAAATATAACATACATGTATTAAGATTATAGACAAACACATTTAATTCAATATTAATTAAGTGTTGGATTTTTAATGGATGAAACTTGTATAATTTTACTTTATTTACCTAGATATAAAAAAACATTTGAATATTAGTCATAGTATTTTTTGCATCATATTTAATCAGCTACATAAGATGTTTAAAACTCCCTTCGAGTATTTTTTAGGTTTTATTATTGGTACAAAATTCGTTCTGGTGCATGGATAGGTTGCTTATGCCAATTCCCCCAAAAACTTCACTAAAAAACTTTCAATTCTCTTGAGGATGTAATTAAACGTAGTTAACTCCATTCTCATATAACAAAAAAACCTCACTTTGTCCAAATTCAATTGACGAAATAGATAGTGGTATTCCCCGAACCTACCTCTTCCGCGGTTAATTACATGGACGCCTGGCCTACTTTCCTTCTATGAATTTTTCATTCTACATTTTCAATCAAAAATAACTCTTCATCACTTGAGGAAGATATTGTCTCAACCAGAGCTGAGACTACGCTGAGCTTGAAATGCAAGCGTTTGTTGTGAACACACAACAGCATTCTCAAGCGCTTGGAACAAGTGCTGAAAGTAAGTTACTTGTAACCAGCTTTCTTTGTGAACGCACCCTACTAACAGTGCAGTTTGGATGTCGATGAGTTGATAGCTCAAGTATTTAGAGCTTCCAATTTACAAAAAAATACATTATCCACGCATTGTGGTTGTCCCTAGAATGTTCAATAACGTAACCAATAGGACAAATATAACATATAATTATGTATTAAGATGAAAGACTAACACATTGAATTCAATATTAATTCAGTGTTGGATTCTTTATAGATGAAACTTGTATACTTTTACTTTATTTACCTAGAAAATTAAAACATTTGAATATTAACAACATATTTGTAATTAAACAGCTACATAGGGTGTTTAAAACTCCCTTAAAGTATTTTTTAGGTTTTTATTATTGGTACAAAATTCGTTCTAGTGCATGGATAGGTTGCTTATGCCAATTCCCCCCCAAAACTTCACTAAAACACTTTAAATTTTTTTGAGGATGTAATTAAACGTAGTTAACTCCATTCTCATATAAGAAAAAAACCTCACTTTGTCCAAGTTCAATTGAGGAAATAGATGGTTTTCCCCGAACCTACCTCTTCCACGGCTAATTACATGAACACCTACTTTCCTTCTGCGAATCTTTAATTCTACATTTTAAATCAAAAGTAACTCTTCATCACTTAAAAAAGATATTGTCTCAACCAGAGCTGAGACGTTGAGCTTGAAATGCAAGCGTTTGTTGTGAACACACAACACCATTCTCAAGCGCTTGGAACAAGCGCTGAAAGTAAGTTACTTGTAACCAGCTTTCTTTGTGAACGCACCCTAAACTCCGACTTGGCTTACCGTGGTGACGAATGAGAAATCAGACCATACGTCAGTAAAAACATGCTCTGTATGCTCAGTGGAGAGTATTTATTCAAATTACTACAAGTTAATCAAACAATTAGATCTAATATGGTTACAAGTTCCACTATGTCTGAACAATCAATTAATAATCTAATAAATAATAAGGTACTTATTTGGAGTGTGTTTGAAAGAGATTTGTTGAATTACAAAAATTCTCTACTTAGACACACACATTATACTTAACTAGCTACTGTATTATCAACATTACAACAATCCCGTCCACGTTGAGCTCTCGATACATTGTCATACACAAAATGATGTCCAAAAAAATCTCAGGCACAAATTTTGAACGCTTAGCACATAACTAAAAATGCATGTCCCCTGAAGAGACAAGATTCCCTCAAACTTCAAAATACGAATTAAATGCAGAGATAACTAACTATAAGGCCGACAAGTGGCCTGTGGAAACTTGTGTCTTTTTTTCTACAACACGTTCAATAAGGATGATATAGCCATTACATTTTAGCACGCATATGCCACAAGTCGGTAAACTACAGTGCTGAACACTCCACTGTTGATCCGCGTTGCCACGTGCTACTAATTAGGCATACTGTTACTGTTACTCTATAACCTGTTATATTTGTCTGTTACTTTATTGCTTATAATAAGTATAAGTATCACTTCCGTTAACGTTTCAATTATTTACTACACTGCAACGGCAAATAAACAGCCCATACATTGTGTGCTGAAAACATAAATCATTGTAAGTGTAGGCTATATAAACCGATACAAACAAATAGGCTGAACAATGCTTACGGTAGTCTCAAGTCAATCAAACATGATTAAAAAGTCTACAAGACCGCTATTCTGATGATAGTGTAATGTGTAGGACTAGCAAGCTGTTGTAAACAATTTACAATTCCTTTTATTTTAATTTATATTTATTTTAGAGATTTTTAAACTGGATATTCTTTTTAAAATATGCTTGCTATTCGATTATTTGCAAAGGATTTTTAAATTTAGATTTTTAGTTTTTATTTAAATTTTAAGATAAATTAACTTTTAAAACTAATTATTTATGAAGGTACAGTATGCACAAAATCTCGGTATTTGGTCGTGGTTATAGCCACTAAAGCTTTGTTTTGAATTACTGATCGGTGGTTGGTTGTATGTGAAGACTATTGATTATAATTTTAATTTTTTTGTATTTTATTCCAAATCAACGATTGTATTTTAGTCTTGGTTTAATTCGTTTTCCCCGGCACACCTAATTCATTTATTATGTTCAAGAACACGGACAAAGGAAAATGTACTGTAGTTTAAAATTTTAATATTATAAACGTTATTAAACTCGAATATTTGTACCTTCATAGTTAATACTCGTATACCGAACACCCGGGTTTGTGAATAACACTGGGCGATAAAAACTCTAATTTAACAGAAATGTCTGTACGAGATTCAGGCTCAACAATTATAATAATTTTCAATGTGCCCTTTCAAAATCTATTTCCAGCGTATAGATTTCCGTTTTTAACATATTTCCCATATAGGGTAATACGCTATTACCAATTACTTTTATACATGTCAGCTATTTTTTATTCAGTATTTTGAACTTAAGTGTCATGTGATAAGGAATTTTAAATGCTAATTAAAAGTGTTCCTGGAGTATTTTTATAAAATCAGCAATTTGTTGTCATTTAAATAATAAAAAGTAAAAATCCGATCAGGCAAATGGGAATTCACTTATTGTCAACAGGTTTGTTGCGGAGGGTGTATTTTTCTTTTAGTATGAGAAATAACAATCGTTTCTATAAACTATTTCTATCTTTGGAAACCCGATCGTAGCATGCACGTTTAACTTAAGTAAATACACCACTATTAAACAATTCAATTCTTAGTGATCTGTTGGTTATAAATTTTAGAAATATTTCTCTGAATAGAGATTTACAGATACATTTTTAAAATGTTTTGAACATTGATTGATACGCGCCTTTTTCTTTAAACGATTTAATCCTACCAAATGCTCACGGTAATTCGGTAATTGGCATGTCTAAGTTTAACAATCCTGGGTACAATATTATAAACTATTGTAATCTATACTACATAGAAATATGGTTTGCTAAAGAAGTGACTGTTTCATAAATAGGCAAATGGAGGATCCATTATAATTGAGAACATGTATGTTTAACACCTGAATTACGTTTTATGGGCATGTTTAGAACGGCTTTCAATGGTTCCAAAAATTCCATTCCACATATAAAAGACAAAGTAGTTCCTTCAAACTGCAAGGTCTAACTAAGATAAGGGTGGGAACCCTAGCAGCTGCGCGCGTTAAGCCCAGCTAGGGGAGGTGTACCTTCAGCCAATTACAAAGCCATGTAACCTGATACCGGATACGGAACCGTCGCCGCCATCTCCGTTCCCGCCTAAACAGCATCATTACCCGCCATTATAGCGGCCGCTAATAGACCAAGGCATAATCCTAGCAACCGGTGTGATTACTATGTGCGCCTCTGTCTTTAACGGCATGGTAATTGTTAGATTTGAAATAAGAAACCGGGTAATGCAACAGGGTGTAATGCAATTGTTTGGGAATTTAGTTCAATGTTCGTGTTCAACCTCTACAATAAGCATTTATTAAGCTGCGATATTGTTTGTTATATTTCATAGTTTGAATAGGTTTCCAAATGTATGACTATTTCACTGCCATTAGACTACTATTGACTTTTTAAGTGGTGTGTTCCGCATTTTATACTCTCTCATTCTGGACATAATATTACATTTTACATTTTAGAGTGTATTCTTAGATTCTCCAAGAATTTTGTTTAAAGATATGATTAAATTATTAAGATTTAATGATTTAATTTAATATATTACAGTCATTTTAACTCTTAACAAAATGACATATCCCGCAATACTGTGAAATTTACCGTAAAAAAGTTATTGAACTTTCCGTAATATTTTCCATAAAACCCTTGCTTAGCTACTCCCGCTGGTTATTCAACAGTATTCTTATACAACTAGTAGGGTATTCAACTTTAACGTTAGGCTAATCGCGAGAAAGTAGGTGTCAGTTTATTCCAACCGTTTATTATTCATAAAGGTGTACTAAATATTAATAGTAATTGATATCGAAATGAAATCGAAAATCTATTTTGTTTGCCACTTTCAGCATGTTATCCCACGTGTGTGATATTTTAACATATTTCAGCTCGCTATTGACTCAGGTGATGTGGCTGTATCTCGTGGATTGTCAAAGTCACCATAGCATTAACACATACACATGTCACAGGTGCATTGCAGACTTGCGACGTTGCCGCGTCTCTGTCACAGACGGCAACACCGCCGCGCCTTGGGAGGTCCGCTCACACCTATGTTTTTGTTTATTCAACCTGCTTTGAAAACATTTAGAGTCGGCGCCCTTGTAGGGGTTGTAGGGCAAAAACTGACTCGCTAATATTATTTTACCTTCGGGCGGATGCTGTGGCTGCCGAGAGGTTGACTTTTGTAGCAGCACGTGTGTCTTTGTGGCCGCTGACGCTTCATTGACGAGAGACGAGAGACGCGGGAGGTAGGAATCTCGAGAGTCGGCAGCGGCCAGCGGCGGAGATGAAGGAAACTTCAACCACAGTCAGTGGATGATCAGGGTAGAGCAACTCACGAAGTGCTGCTGAAAATCACCTTCAAGAGGTGGTCTAATAGTAGTTGTAAGTTAAGTGTTCACAATATTACACTATTGTACGATTTTACCTTCATTAATCAACTGGCTGTCTTTATTCACTTACAAGTGATAAAATGAATTATTTGTTTTTATTGAATGAATAAAATGTCAAAGACCTTAATTTTTTTGAGGTTCAATTAAGACACCCTTTCAGCATTGCAGTACAGTACTAAACAAGTATAGTGGTCTTGCCTACTGATTTCGGGGTTTAATGAACCGACATTTTAATTTATTTCCAGTTTGTAAAGTAAACTAATACGATCGTTATAAAAACGCAAAGAAATTGGAAAGTTTCGACTCATATAAAAGCGAATAGCTTTTCTCTCTCAGGATCATAACGTGGACCTTCTGATTTGTAGGAGTGCACTATTACCACTGAATATACAGTAAGTGACTATAGTCTATGCTATCGCCCACTTGGTCACTTAGCTACCCATTCCCTGCTCTTGTGATATCATATTACACTATATCAATACACCATGTACTTACTATCCTCAAGTGCAATATCTACGGTATATCAAGTATAATAATGCCGATAAAGTAATTGTTCGTCACAGAACAAAAGCTTCATGTTGATAAACACTCACAAACGTATTTCCTGTGTAGAGAAACAATATAGTCAACAGACCTCCAGCTAATATCAAATACTCGAGAAAGTGTTTGTAAAAGCTCAAGTTTGAAGAGTCGTCTCGTGTGCTTGCTTACAATAGTTGATGTTGTTATTGGATAAATAGATCTAACATTGGACCTGAAGCGGTAACACCCCCCCCCCCCCCCCACTGTGGCTGTAGATAAATACATGAGGCCAACTGGACGGCAAATATTTAGTGGTGGAAATTATCCTGGCTTGTGTACACTCCATGATGTTTTTATTGTCGACTGCTTTTGTAGTGGGGCTAATTCAGTTAGGCCTATAGGTAAATGAGGGTAGAGCACTGTCATTTGCGTAATAGTCGGGGGGCAAACTGTATTCTGTATTCCGTGGGATTTTTTGTGAAGGGAATGTGTGACTATGTGAAATCTCTTTATTATATGTCAAATAATGGTGTAGTACCGGGTGTTTACCCTCAAATTGTGGGGTTTGGTTTTTATGACGTCGTAAATCCAAGATGGCCGCCATGTGTGACATCTATTCATTAAATTAATAATAACTATTTTCAGAGTAGAATTTTCGAATTTTAATTTACACCATTGAATTCAGCTCAAAAGATCAAACAATTTGGTGTTTTTAATCATTGCTCTATGACAATTGGTTACCAAGATATTGAAGGCGGAAAACACAGAACATTGTCCCCATGTTATCCTTATGGGGAAAAAATAAATTTGTATATCTAGCTTATTACTCAGCATATCTTAATAAAAATTGGTATGTGGCTTCATTTAGTAGAGATCTACTTGATTATGGCCTAAAATCCCCCATTTTTAAATTTCCGTGGCAGCAAACCTGCATACTAACTTCCAATGTTATTCTTATGGAAAATTTTTTGCATGCTTGTTTATGAAAATACGTGTTGTGCAATGTTAATGTGTGGCCCCATTTTAATTATTTATTGAAGCATTTGCAATTCGTTGAGTATACAGGTCTGCTGCTACGGGGGTATTGTAGCTATAAACAAATTACAGGTATTAGAAAATCAAATAAATTAGACTATAGTTGTGAGGCATATGTAATTTTGTAGGGTTTTGAATTAAGCAATTGTATGATTGTTGGCGATAGATAGGTAATGGTATGTAGAATCGTGTACTACCGAGTATTTTGTCTGAAAGTGTGGCCAAGCTGGTGTTTTCGGCCGCCATCTTGGATCCGCCATATTGGATATTAATAACTTTTTTTATGCAATGCTAGTGTTGTGACACATCATTGTGAACTAGATTTTCACGCTGATTTCAATGCTGAAATATGTTTTTAAATATCTTTTTTCGTTTGGAATATATATTTAAATAAAAACTCTCCCTCATACATTTCTAACGGACGTTTCGTACTTTGAACATTTTAAAGATTATTTTTCTTATATCTCCAGTTCCTATTAACGCTTGCAGTTTGTTCTAGTCTTAAAATATTCAGTGATGTATGAGCTTTCATTTGAGCTACTGATCTTTAAATCCGGTCGAGTTAGAGTTGAGCTACGAACCCTAACACAATATTAAATTTAACTTATTACAAATCTTTTGTAATTGAAAGATGTATATCTCGGGTTGTTAATACGTCACTAAGTTCTTCCTGGTCTCAAATTACTTGGTCATTGTTTGGTTTTAAATTTTATTGATCACTAAATGAAAGCTGACTAAGTTATTTTAAAATGAGTCAGGAACCATCATTTAACATTAAATTATTTTTATGTCCAAAACTTTCTTTGGTTAAAGACATACAGGGCTGGTCATCAGTGTTACAATATTTAGACGTGGAACCTAGTCTTATATGCCTCATCACACATCATTTACTTTGTACTTACACCAAACAAATGTTGTAACCCTGATGACCAGACCTGTATGTCTTTAACTGCTTTAACCAATGACAGATTTTATAATAAAAATAATTATTAATGTTAAATAAAGGTCCATGACTAATTTTAAATTAGTCAGATTTCATTTCGTGATTAATAAAACTTTAAACCAAACATTTACTGAGTAATTTGAGACCAGAATGAACCTTTTGACGTATTAACAACCCGAGATATAAATCTTTTAATAAAAACTGATTTGGAAAAAGATAAATTTAATATTGTGTTGTGGTTCATAGCTCAACTCTAACTCGTCTGATTTTAATGATTGATAGATTAAATAAAATCCCGTACATCACTGAATACTTTATGACTAGATCGAATTGCAATCAATAAGAAAGCGATATATGAGAAAAATAATCTGAAAATAATCAAAGTACGAAACGTCCATAAGAAATGTATGGAGGGGGGTTTCATTTCAATATATTTTCGAAACGAAAAACAATATTTACAAACGGTTTTCGGAATTGAAATTAGCGTAAACATCTAGTTTATAATGATGAGTCACAACACCAACATTACATTTAAAAAATTTTATTAATATCCAATATGGTGGATCCAAGACTGCGGGACAAAAACAACAGCTAGGCCACACTTTCAGACAAAACACCCGGTAGTACACGATTCTATATGTCATTACCTATCTATCACCACCAATCATACAATTGCCTAATTCAAAATCACACGAAATTACATATGACCCAGAACTATAGTCTATTTTATTTTATACCTATAATTTGTGAGGTTTGTTTATAGCTACAATTCCACCGTAGCAGCAGTCCTGTATACTAAACGAATTGCAAATGCTTCATTAAATAATTAAAATGGAGCCACACATCATCTCAAAGGTCACATCTCAAAGTATGTTCATGAACAAGCATGCAAAAATATAGACCATAAGAATAACATGGGAAGTGAGTATGCAGGCTTCCTGCCAATGCTGCAACGGAAATGTCAAAATGGGGGATTTTAGGTCATATTCAAGGTGATCTCTAAAATATGAAGCCACATACAAATTTTTATTAAGATATGTTAAGAAATAAGCGAGATATACAATTTTATTTTTTCCCATAAGGATAACATGGGGACAATGTTCTGTGTTTACCACGTGCAATATCTCGGTAACCAATGGACATAGAGCAATGATTCAAGATACCAAATTGTTTGCTTTTTCAAGCTGAATTCAATGGTGTAAACTAAAATCTGATTATTTTTCTCTGGAAAGAGTTATTATTAATTTAACGAATAGATGTCACACATGGTGGCCATCTTGGATTTACGACGTCATAAAACCAAACCCCACAATTTGAGGGTAAACACCCGGTACTACACCATTATATGACATATAATAAAGAGATCCAACATAGTCACACATTCCCTTCACAAAAAATCCCACGGAAGCTAGATATGTGTAGTTTGCTCCTGGACTATAATGCGAAATTACAAAGTAGTGCTTTTTATATCACTAAATCAACATGTGCTGGTAAAAAAAATATTTTGATTCGGAAACTGCTTAATACTTTTTTTAAGTCATAAAAATTAAGAGATTAATCACAACATTCAGGATATGGTTCTTGTGTAGCTACTGCAATAGCACTCCCTAAATATACTTGTTTAGCTATTAGAATCTCAAACATCTTGCCATCAAGTGTACGTAATGGACATGTTTGAGTTCTATATCCAATGGTTCATGGAACCATTTGAGAAACTCCTTTTAATTATAGCCCACTTTACCACTTTATAGCGTGGAGGATATGTACTGCACTTACCATTTTAATCTCAACGTTACCTCCACTTAAGGGCTTCAAACGATAATGTAACTATATTTTATGTGAAACACATTTAACTAACAAGTTTTAGTCAAACAAATAAGTCAATCAAGTATTTATGAAAAAAATACAATCGTATTCAATAACTAAATTAGTTTATAATTGCATTCCCTTCCCTTCAACATACTACGCTAATTATTGACTAGGCTTAAATGTCAAATGTAAAAACTAAAACACAAATTTGTCGAGAAATTATCAGACACAGAGAGACGTTTTTGAAAGAAGGTGCTGGTATTATCTTATCGATACGATATGTTTACTATCTCCAGGTTCGCTGACACCCAACTCTAAAGTTCAAATTTTTATAAATAATGTTGAAACGATTAAAATGAATAAGTTGTAATCCTATTCAGTTGTCGCATCTCGCTAGTTAGTTACTTGGGTTCTCGGCACTCAGTCCCCGTGGATGAGTCACTTATAAGGCCCGTCCGTGTTATCCTTCCTATTAGTCACCCCATCCTGACACTTGTTATGGCTTGTTTTTCTCTCAGTAACAACAGTAGTATGTCCCCTCCTCAGCCGTAAGATAAACAAACAACTTGCATAGTGATGTGTCATGTTGTGAGGG